AAAAAAAAAAAAAAAAAAAAAAAAAAAAAAAAAAAAAAAAAAAAAAAAAAAAAAAAAAGAAAAAAACTCACAGTACCCTTGGATTAACCGCAAAAGTAGAGCGACACTTTTCGCCCCTCGTACGGAGCAAGAGCGCGGTTGTACACAAAGCGCGAAAATCAGCACGGAAAAAAAAGGGAGAAAAACCACAGCGCATATATACACATATATATATAAAAGTTTGGACCAAAGGCCAAGTTCCGGGGGATCCGGTGTTTAGCGTACACCACACCCACACACACGTTCCACCCTCCCCGCGGTCCGTTAAACGCGAAAAAAAGGCGCCGCTCGAGAATCGGCTGAAAGACTCACCCGCGCAGCCGGAGAATAATGGGGGAGTGATTAGCCGGTCCGCGGGTGCCTCGACGTGCAGCTAGACCGAGCTTGGCCGAACGACTCCTCGGCTCCAGGCTTCACTCGCGAGAGCTATTACGCGCGATCTCTCTCCCTCTTCTCTCTTTATCCGCCTCGAGGAGGCGACCTTTTTTATTTTCCTCCGGCTTTGCTTCTGTGTCGCCGATGTGCGCGGCGGGGCGGGAAAAGAGACTCAAAGGACACGTACATTATGTGTTTGCCGATCCGCCGAGGACCGGTGATTGTTCCTGAAACGCGGAAAATCGTCTCGTCATCCGATGCCTGCGCACACTCGATACTCCCGACAGCACGCAAAAGTATATGCTGGAGAACAATTAAAACAGCAGTGTAACAAATCGGTTCGGTTCCGCGTACGCGTGTACCGCGGGCTTTCCGCGATCCTGCGTGTGACGTGCACACGTGACGTCGCGTTCGAGTTGATTTATGCCTTCGTCCGCATACTTACAGGGGACGAGATATTTTTTTTTTTTTTTTTTTTTTTCCACAACGAGTTTCCAACATCCTCCATGGCGTTTTTCCACCTGAAAAGTACAGGCGCGTGAGTTACGAGATCTCAGACCCGGGAATGCTTTTTGTAAGTACTTAAATGTATAGCAAAGACCTCGTCTGTCGGCTGAAAAGGACTTTTTTTTAAAGGTACAGGTAGCTTATCGCGATCACAAGCATATACCTCGTATTTGTATACAAGTACCGAGGATTAAAGTCATGATAAGAATGACGATGGTAAAAAAAAAAAAAAAAAAAAAGTGACAACTACACGCTCGTGCTCGAGTGCGAGCACAGATGACAAGTAGGTACGGCGCGAAGGCGAGCGACTTCTTATGAAAAATCGCGCTCCCTTTCGTCAAGCGTTTCACGTTGATTCTTTGCGCCTCCGTTTGGTCGCTTTCTTTTACTTAGTCACTCGACGATCGGCAGCGCTCGAAAGTAATTAAAAGCGCGTCGCTCTGGATATACATTTTTCTAATGGTTAAACAAAGATCTTGTACTATCCTTTATTATCGATGATTCTGTATATTAGTAATGGAAGCTCGTCTATTCGCAAGATCTTGGATGATCGGTAAGCTTCGATTTAGTTGGAGAAGTGTATACTTACATGGGAAAAGTTGAAAACATCCTGGACTTTTTTTTTTTTTTTAACTTTGCATGGGTGCAATTTTGATTTTACATTACCCGACTCATTGAAGTATCAGCCGAGACATTTTAACTCGGAATAACATCGGCTGAAATAATACAATGACAAACTCGCTGTTCAACGTATATATTAATAAGCATTTAACTTTTTGGTTAATAGTTTTCAGCACTGATGGGGCACCATTTATACGACCCACTGCATCGCGTGAATTCCATACCTTAAACGTTTTTCCGCTAATACGCGTGTATACATTTTAAATACTCACTTACCAAGAGCTGATGGTAAATTATTGGGTCAAGGTCTTTCCATCGCATGTAGCGTGCACCATATATAATATTACTTACATACACATACCGACGAGTTACTTTGTTCATTATGTTTTACCTCATTATGTTTCATTATGTATTACCTCTTAAATACTTAGGTATAGGTAAATGTATGTAAAGGCGCTTTTTTAATATGTAGTTTAAAAACACATTGTCAACAAATTACGTTTCTCGAATCGACTATGTGGTACGGGTATGTAAATTCACGCGTGTTCTGTTTCACTTGGAGTCCATTTTTATCGTTTCGCTGACGCTGTTAAGGAGCATAGTAAAAACGTCGGGCAGTGTACAATAAATAGCGGCGAGTTAGATCATCATTTTGATCGCTAATAAAATACATTTTATTGTTAGTAGTGAACAATATTCAAGCCATTCGACGATTTTTTTCAACTCTCGAAACAATATTTTTGTTCAATCGTGAGAAGATTAATTTTTATGATACCTTGTTTTGCAAATACAAACTTGATTTTTTGCGAAACTAATTGGCAAGATAAAAAAAAAGTACGTAAGACCAGCAAAAAATTTTACGTGATTTTTCTTTCAAGTATTAAGTATATAGTATCGTTGATCTGTTGCAAAGTTTTCAAACAATTAATTATAGGCATTTTTATTAAAACTATTGATCGTACTAAATAATAAAATACACATTTCTGAATAATTGTGTGAACCAGTTTTTAAGCTATGCATGATTTAATGGAGCGTTAACGTGCATGTGTATATACGTATTCGTATATATATATATTGTAACGTTTCAATTAGATATATTATGTTACTGTTTCCGTACAAAAATACCAGTAAGTATGTAAATTACGATTGT